TAGCCAACACACAGTTCCTATATCTCTCCCAAACATCTCCATCCTTACCACTCTCCCAATTTTCAACACCTTCACTTCAAATGCCTTCCTCACCTCTGCATCCTGCAACTTCCATGTCTTTCTCTTTGCCACAAACTTATCCTTTTTCCTCCTTCCCATTTCTTTTGATGTCACATCCATCACAACCATACTATGCTGCAGCATACCAGGTATCGCCTTCACATTCTTCACATACTTCCTATGTTTGGCCCTTACCAATATATAGTCTATCATCGACCTATGCTCCCCTGACCTATATGTAATCAATCGCGCTGGTTCCCTTGTAAACCAGGTATTTCCCACCACCATACTATGTGCATCCGCCAACTCCAACACTCTACGCCCTTCCTCATTCCGTATATCATATCCCCATCCCCCATGTACACCTTCACATGACCATTCAAATCACCCAACAACACCACAAACTCATCCAACCCCGCTTGCCCAATCTCGTCAGAAACATCATCATAAAACCTATCCTTCTCCTCTTCCTTCCTACTTTGTTGCGGAGCATATCCTGATATCACCCTCATTATTACTTTTCCAAACACCATCACCACCACAATTACACCATTGCTTCTCCGCCTCACTTCCAACACCTTCTCCACCAACTCTTCTCTTACCATCACACCAACTCCTCCCGTACCATCATCCCCCTTCCACCACAACTTATATCTTCCACCTTTAGCCCCCACAAACCTTGTACCCTCACCCTTCCATATGATCTCCTGTTAAACTAAAAGTTAAAGCATTATGGAAATGATTAATTGCAGCTTGAGTCAAATAAAGAATAATAACTTGAAAGAAATAAAATTTGCATTACCAAGAGTAATAGGATGGAAGCCAATGCTTTAATTTTTATTATTTTAAACTGATTTTTGCATTTCTATTTAAAAAGGCTAACGAATATCCTTAAATACCTTTAGTTATCTTAGCTTAAATAGCCTGTTTCAATTATATATTTCAGTCTAATCTGAATCATTCTCGAAATTTTTTCGGCCCAAATGTTTTATTACGAGAATGAAATTTCACTGATATTTCAACCATGGTGAATTGAAAAACAATATGGTTGTTTTCAATAATGGATGAGGATGTTTAATTCATCCCCTAACTTCATGTGCAATAAATAAAACACACGTATTTTTAAATGTCACATTTTCTATAGTATTGTATTATGAAATACACTAACCACAACAATTACCAAAAAATGAACACTGATATAATCTTATTTATAAAGAAATGAATAAGTTATCTTTTTGAAATGGATTATTTGTGCTATTAGATATTTTTGAACTGAATATGGAACCATATGTTTATAATATTCTTAAATATGGCAAATTTTATTCAATATAAAACATGTTAACACTATATTTTTCAAGTTCGTATCCACTTTAGTTAGTGTATATATATATATATATATATATATATATATATATATATATATATATATATATATATATATATATGTATGTATGAAT